TGATGCATTTAACGTCAAATAATCTAAATGAAGCCTTTTAAAAGACGAGTATTCCCTGTGGTTCATGTTTGTGGCATGCGCCAGAAAGATGCTCAAGGACACCGATATGCGCTAAAGCAGCACATTCTGTTCTTCTCTTTATTTTTCAAAGGCATGACATTTTGTAGTTATTTTGAACGTAACGTTACACAATTAAAAAGATACATTTTACCATACGACTATACATGACAGAGTATTAAGTTATTCCCCTCGATGGGGAAAAAATCCAAGTGAACATCAATCAGTACTCAATATTAATGTAAACTGCTTTAAATATGACTGCTGCTTATTTCCTGTGCACTTCTGCGCTTGACTGTAGTCGCGTCTGTCTGCTTATTAAGTTTATTTAGGCTAACCCATCACAATTTATTGGAACTGTGTGAACTAGAGTGACTACCCACCTTAATGTTGTTCTAAAGGCTTATTACTTGATAACACAAAAATGTCCTGCTCGCACTTGCCAATTTAATGGCAGAGAATGGTGACTTCAGTTTTTTTTTGTTTTTTGTTTGTTTTTTGAAGCGGATGCATATCTGTCGTAAAATAATCCTATGCATCTCGTGGCGTATATTCCAAGCATTCTGAAGGTATGCTGAGGGTTTGGTGAGAAACAAACCAAAATGGCAAGTTATTAAACTATAATTAAGTTATTTAAAAAAAGAAGGAAAAAAAATTCTCTCTTTATTTATTCCTTCTCTTTCTAGCTTGGACTTATTTGAACAATGTCTAGAAACTTGGTATTACAGGCACTTCCTGTATCTGTTTGCCTCTTTAAGAAGAATCACTTTATGTATCCCCCAATTGTAAGTCGCTTTGGATAAAAGCGTCTGCAAAATGACTAAATGTAAATGTAAATGTATTATATTTTATGAAAATCTTGCGTTGCAGTGTGAGTGCGCAGCAAGCTTTATTGTTTTAGTTTTAAGTTGACTATAATAACCTTGGTTCACTGATTCATTCTTTGTGCTGCTTTTTCTAGGCGTATCCTTATTAAATAACTTGGCAAGGCGAGTTTATTTATGTAGCACATTTCATATACAATGGTAATTGAAAGTGCTTTACACAAAATAGATTTAAAAATAATCACAACTAGTTCATAAGAAATTAAATAAAAAGTCAAAATGGATCTAAAGTTTGTTCTGGAACACAGACCTTCATGCAAAGCACCGTTTAGTCCTGCTCTGTCCTGTCTGTAATCTAATCTTAAATAGCCAGTCATGCAGTGAGCTGCAGTATTATTGTGTGCAGGAGGATCTGTAATGCATGTAAGACACTGAAAACTGGCAGATTGAGTTCTCAACTCGCTAAATCACTTTAGTGAATCTTTACGTTGTGCTCTTTGTGATTCCGTCCTCTCCTCCAGTAGCCGATCTCCTCTCAAACGTGGGTTTAATCTGCGCTTGTTATTCCCGCTGTGCTGTGCTGATTCACCGCTGCCATTGCATCAAGATGAAATTACTCTCCGGTTTAACAGCTCTGGCTGACGCACAGAAACCACCGGCTGGAAAAACAACTGCTGCTGCTGGAGTCCATTAGAAACTCAATTAGACATCTTAATGAACAGACATTTATGCAGAAAAAAACAATGACTTATGCATAACTTAAACATGTTGTTTAAATGTTATTTAGCATTTGTAATGTCTTTTTCCAGCCCATTCAGATATTAAGTCCGTAAAGAGATTCATTCATTACACTGGAAACAGAAGGTGCATTATCCATGCATACACAAAATCTGCATGCTGTGCGCAGTGTATATATACTATAAACCTCTATGAGTAGTATGCATTTTGAACACAGTCTATGTTCAGGTAACAGTAGGAGATGCTGATTTACAGCTCATCCATCATCGTCAGTAACTCACTGTCGCCCTCGATAAAAGCGTCTGCAAAATGACTAAATGTAAATGTAAATGTATTATATTTTATGAAAATCTTGCGTTGCAGTGTGAGTGCGCAGCAAGCTTTATTGTTTTAGTTTTAAGTTGACTATAATAACCTTGGTTCACTGATTCATTCTTTGTGCTGCTTTTTCTAGGCGTATCCTTATTAAATAACTTGGCAAGGCGAGTTTATTTATGTAGCACATTTCATATACAATGGTAATTGAAAGTGCTTTACACAAAATAGATTTAAAAATAATCACAACTAGTTCATAAGAAATTAAATAAAAAGTCAAAATGGATCTAAAGTTTGTTCTGGAACACAGACCTTCATGCAAAGCACCGTTTAGTCCTGCTCTGTCCTGTCTGTAATCTAATCTTAAATAGCCAGTCATGCAGTGAGCTGCAGTATTATTGTGTGCAGGAGGATCTGTAATGCATGTAAGACACTGAAAACTGGCAGATTGAGTTCTCAACTCGCTAAATCACTTTAGTGAATCTTTACGTTGTGCTCTTTGTGATTCCGTCCTCTCCTCCAGTAGCCGATCTCCTCTCAAACGTGGGTTTAATCTGCGCTTGTTATTCCCGCTGTGCTGTGCTGATTCACCGCTGCCATTGCATCAAGATGAAATTACTCTCCGGTTTAACAGCTCTGGCTGACGCACAGAAACCACCGGCTGGAAAAACAACTGCTGCTGCTGGAGTCCATTAGAAACTCAATTAGACATCTTAATGAACAGACATTTATGCAGAAAAAAACAATGACTTATGCATAACTTAAACATGTTGTTTAAATGTTATTTAGCATTTGTAATGTCTTTTTCCAGCCCATTCAGATATTAAGTCCGTAAAGAGATTCATTCATTACACTGGAAACAGAAGGTGCATTATCCATGCATACACAAAATCTGCATGCTGTGCGCAGTGTATATATACTATAAACCTCTATGAGTAGTATGCATTTTGAACACAGTCTATGTTCAGGTAACAGTAGGAGATGCTGATTTACAGCTCATCCATCATCGTCAGTAACTCACTGTCGCCCTCTGCTGGAGAAACCTTGCTCGTGTTACTAAATATGTAGATAAGATAAACTTATCTTATTTGTTTTTGCAGATAAACTGGTTTTGACTTTGGGCCTCGCTTGTCTTTATTTAGCTTATTGTAGTTTGGTTAGATGGATGCTGCAGATTAAAATGCATGGAATTGTTTTTAAGGTTCAACTGTATGGTTTCATATATGTGACCGTGGACCACAAAACCAGTCTTAAGTGTCAATTTTTTCGAAATTGAGATGTCGACATCATCTGAAAGCTGAATAAATATGCTTTCCACTGATGTATGGTTTGTTAGGATAGGACAATATTTGGCTGAGATACAACTATTTGAAAATCTGGAATCTGAGGGTGCAAAAAAATATTGAGAAAATCATCTTTAAAGTTGTCCAAATTAAGTTCTTAGCAATGCAATGCATAATCAAAAATTAAGCTTTGATATATTTATGGTAGGAAATTTACTAAATATCTTCATGGAACATGAGCTTTACTTAATATCCTAATGATTTTTGGCATAAAAGAAAAATCTATAATTTTGACCCATACAATGTATTGTTGGCTATTGCTACAAATATCCCCCAGCGACTCAACACTGCTTTTGTGCTGCAGGCTCACAGATGTGGTTGATTTCTGTTTGTAATAGAGACTTTGTATGAAATAACATCCTCGTGTCCCGGTTCTTTATTTTCTGGAGGCTCAGAGGAAGTGAGCGTGTGATTTGAAGAGCTTGTGACAGACAGAAATAATGACTGCTAGACAGAAATCAAATCCTCAGTGTTGGCCTTTGCTCTTTTGTCACACAGTTTTCAAAGAATCACAAACGTACATCTGTCTTCATCCTCCTAAAGGGGTCATATTCTGAATAATAATAATAAAATATAAATATATATAGTAAATATATATAATATTAATGCTAATACAAACATAATAATATTAAATATTGAAAGCAATGAAGTATT